TCGAAACACTTAAAACTTAGATAAGAACATAAGAAAATAAGGAGTCTGCAATAGGCAGGTTGGCCTGTGCATGGCAGCTCCTGTCGAGAGTTACTACCACTCTCTATCATCCACTCGTCCACCACCCTATTTGTGAACCAGTTTCCTCCTATCTCCCTCCTAAACCTAAACTTATCCAACTTAAATCCGTTGCTCCGTGTCCTATCGTGTGTGACCCTGTATGAGGAAACATGTCATGCTATACTGTATACATCACACACACACACACACACACACACACACCGTCTACAATAATTACGAAACTTCATCATACAAGTCAGACCTCGTGTACTAAATTAACTGCCCGAAATTTGGTGCCGGATAACGTATTCCCGACCTGTTGCTCTCCCTTGTATCCGAAAAATATTCTCTGACCGATCCAGGCCTTTACAGAGATAACCTGAAGATAAGACTCCACATTCAATTTCAGGTGAACTAGCCGCCCTGATGTTACCTGTAGAGGGTTAGGTTCGATTTAGTTAGGATAGCTATGTTAATACTACATGAATTTAGGTTGGTTAGATTAGGTTAGGTTAATCTTTAGGTAAAATAAGCTGGAGGCTAATCGTTAGATGTTCCCTTGTGTTTTATTGTTGTTGTTGTTGTTGTTTTTGTTTACAGAGTCAAATTTGTTGTGAAACAAGAACAATGTTGTTGGCTGGACAGCTTGTCATTTTCTCACTTAGCAGAGCGCTGTTATTGTACCGCGTAAGCAGATAGACAGAGCAGATTGTGTGCCTGCTAGTGATAACATTGTTCATATACAGACCAGCCGGACACGCATGTACCAGGGGGACGCCTCGGTGAATACATCCGACAGTCCCGCCGCGTGTCCCTTCTCTCCCTCCACTGTTTATTTGGTGAACAAAAATATACCACACGTGTGCAGCATACAGTATGTGGAAATTAGTTAAACATTGAACCAACATCTATGTGGCTCCATCAACAGAGAGCACCACTGCACAGGTTCATCCCTTTACAACGCGCAGTAGCTATATACAGTTTAGTGCTGCTCTTCCATGCCACTAAATTCACATTGAACGCACACCTATGCAACTTCATCAACGCACAGAGCACCACTGCACAAGTTAATGCGTGTGAACAATTTGCAATCTAGTGCAACTCGGCTATGCAATTGAGTTCACGCACACATATGCAACGCCATCAACACACAGCGGCATTATATTACATATCCATGACAGTGAAAACAATGGAAGACTAGAGTACAGTGTGATGGAGGCCAGGTAGTCCCCCCCCCCCAGTTCTAATAGACCCAATCGGCCCATACTATATAATTATTTGAATTTGGGCCTATGGGGACTCTTTGGGCCTGATTCCCATTAGAATTATGGCAGGTACTCATTAGGATTGTGACTCATTAGGGCAGAAGGCCATTAGGAATAAGACCAATTAGGACTAAGACGCCTTATAACCTTCACTCTCAACTCGTACGTCAAGCTGTTTAGATCACCTGAAGATTAGTCCTCCCCCTTCCAGCTTATTTCACCTGTAGACTAATCACACTATCACTACCTAAGCAATGATCGGGGCGAATCTTCAGGTGATTTAATTTTTCTCTTGACTTTAGTGACGTAAGAAACGCATCTGATTGGCTTCCACGACGCAAAGTTGGAGACCAAAATGACGTCGACGTTATTAAGATTCGAAACGTAACAAGATGCGTTCCCAGTTCCTGGCTAGGGTCGGGGGGGTGTAGAGGGGGAATTCTTAAATATTCACACGTAATATTTGTTTTGGAACTCCTGAAGATTACCCCTATACCCCCCAGCTAATCTAACATAAACCTAACCAAACCTAACCTAACCTAACCTCCTAGATAGCGTTAGTGTGTTTAATCCTCACATGAAATAAATGGGGTGGCTAATCTTCACGTGATCCGTTACTTTTGTTTTTAAGTCGAAGTAATTGAAGGTATCTGGGTTGGCAAGAGTCTCGGTGCAATTCTGACGCCATTTTGTTCTCCAGTACAAGGGTCATTGGTGGGTGGTCGCCGCTATCCTGAGTGCAGCAGCACCCACATGGTCGCTACCACATCGATCCACTCGCTGGCCTGGGAGAGGGAGGGAGAGTGGGAAAGAGGGAGGAAGGGAAGAGTGGAAGAGGGAGATTGGGGAAGCTAGGGGGAAGGGGAAGAGGTGATGGAAAGAGGAAGAGGTGAAGGGAGGGGGAAGGGGAGGAGAAGGAGGAGGGGAGAGCTGGTAGGAGGGGGAAGAGAAGATGTGGAGGGAGAAGGAGATGTTTCAGGAATAACGGAGAGGAGGAAGAGAAGTAGACGGAGAAGAAAAATAAAAGGGAGGAGAAGGCGTGGAAATCAAGTCGAAAGACAGAGATGGAGAGGGAAAGAGGGAGGGAAAGAAAGAAAGAGTGCAAATCGAGTCCAGAGAGACAGAGAATGAGAGAAAGACGTGATAGCAAAAAAAGGGGATGGATAGGAAGAAATGGATGAGTGGGGAGGAGGAGGAGGAGGAGGATTAGGAGACAGAGATAAATGTGGTAATAGCGACAGTAGAAAAACAGACAGATGGAGATGGATAACGAAGATTAGGAGGAAGAGTAAAGAGAGAAGATGGAAGAGGAGTGACAGAGGAAGGTAACGGAAACAGAAGTAGAAGAAGAATGAGAGAGAAGAGGAAGATGAAGAAGAACAAGAAGGAAAAAAGGAGAAGAAAAATAAGAGGAAGGAGTGTGTACGTTACAAAGCAGGTGGGAGGGAGGAGGCAGGTGGTCATCACAGGTAGGTGGGAGGGAGGAGGCAGGTGGTCATCACAGGTAGGTGGGAGGGAGGGAGGAGGCAGGTGGTCATCACAGGTAGGAGGGAGGGAGGAGGCAGGTGGTCATCACAGGTAGGTGGGAGGGAGGGAGGCAGGTGTCATCACAGGTGGGAGGGAGGAGGCAGGTGGTCATCACAGGTGGAGGGAGGGGAGGAGGAGGTGGTCATCACAGGTGGGAGGGAGGAGGCAGGTGGTCATCACAGGTAGGTGGGAGGAGGGAGGCAGGTGGTCATCACAGGTGGGGAGGGAGGAGGCAGGTGGTCATCTCAGGTAGGTGGGAGGGAGGGAGGCAGGTGGAGGGAGGAGGAGGAGGCAGGTCATCAGGAGGGAGGGAGGAGGCAGGTGGTCATCACAGGTAGGTGGGAGGGAGGAGGCAGGTGGTCATCACAGGTAGGAGGAGGAGGTCATCACAGGTAGGAGGGAGGGAGGCAGGTGGTCATCACAGGGGAGGGAGGAGGCAGGTGGTCATCACAGGTAGGAGGGAGGGAGGAGGCAGGTGGTCATCACAGGTAGGAGGGAGGGAGGAGGCAGATGGTCATCACAGGGAGGAGGAGGAGGCAGGTGGTTGACACAGGTAGGAGGGAGGGATGAGGCAGGTGGTCATCACAGGTGCGAGGGAGGGAGGAGGCGGCAGGTCGACACATGACTTGGGGTTGCTGGCACCAGGCTGTTTATGACCCACAGGTGTAGAGGTTGGGTTAACGGGAGGGCGGTGAGAGAGAGAGAGAGAGAGAGAGAGAGAGAGAGAGAGAGCATCGTGGCCGTTACCAGGTGCTGTACAAACCTCCCACATCAATTATGCAGGTGTAAGCGGCAGGTATGGTCGACTTGGTCATGTTAGCTGCTTGTAAGGGGGACTGGTTGATGGTGTGGCGTGATGATGGGTGTGGCGTGATGGGTGTGGCGTGATGATGGGTATGCGTAATGATGGGGGTGTGTGATGGGCCTGCTGGTATTTGCTCCCCCTCACCCCTTCAACCACCCCCTCACGGATACTGTAGAGATGTACCACCGGCAAATTTATACCCAACCGGCACCAGAGAGTCTTGTGGTTAAATAGCCGGTTCCAAGATGTGGATGGCTGACTGCCGGATACTGTAGAGAAGAAAGATGTTTGTTTACTAACGGGTCATTTTCCGGGGCGTCTCCCTTGTATTACTTACCAGCTACTGAGAGAGAGAGAGAGTTCTTCTCCTTGTTTATCCTCTCTTTCTATCTCTCTCTGTCTCATTCTGATTATTCTCATTTGTTTTCTCTTCCGCCAACATTATCCTCCCTCTCTCTCTCACCACAAGTTTGGTTAGTTGAGGAAATATATTTATTGGTTTGGCTCTCTGTAGGAAGGGGTGGTGGGACCTATGTTGACACGAAGCTCTGTGGAGATGAAGCCTTCTTGTACACACGCACTCCCTGTCTGGCAAACACGCTCACGTTGACACACACACACACACACACACACACACACACACACACACATTCATACAGAAGTACTCCATGTTTGTAAAGTACTCACAATGATACAGTGAGAGTGAGTAAAAAAAAAACAGTACACCATTTATATTCCCTAACCTAACCTAACCTAACCTAACCTAACCTAACCTAACCTAACCTAACCTAACCTAACCTAACCTAACCTAACCTAACCTAAATACCTCCGGGGGTATTGTTTACATAATGTCTCTCAGGTGAGCAAATTAGCCTACCTGTCGTCCACAACAAACACCAACACGAAGACAGGTATGTATCTTAAAAGCTGGATACTTATCAGGGAGAGAGATGGGTCCGCGTAGAGGAATAATGATGATGATGATGATGATAATAATACCAGTAATAATAATTTATTTATTAGTAATAATAAAGATAATAATAATAATGATGATAAAGGTACTATTAATAATAATAATAATAATAATAATAATAATAATAATAATAAATTTTAATGGTCAGATTATCAACTAAAAATCCTTTTATTTTGGTTGATCGACGTTCTTTTTTTTATATATTTTTTATTTCCTTAGAAGACGATTTTGATGTCCTTTTTGACTCTTTTGGTTGGGAGGGTTCTGACTGGGAGGGTTCTGACTGGGAGGGTTCTGACTGGGTGAGTTCTGACTGGGTGAGTTCTGACTGGGAGGGTTCTGACTGGGTGAGTTCTGACTGGGAAACTTTTCACTGGGATAATTTGGGCTCAAGAATGTCTATTAAGCTCTGGAGGCTGGGGCGGCAGATGGGGTCCCTGTTTTGGGCTGAGTGCACCCACTGGACGACTTCTTCAGGGAACTCCCCAGTATGGACCAACTTCTGAAATAGTTTTCCTAAGCTGTAGATGTCGCTGGTGGTGGTAATATTTTCCCCGTTCAGAACCTCCGGTGCCATCCGTTCCACCTGCTTCTGGATATCAGCGGGAATTGGTGTCATGTATAGTGGATGATTGACGAGTGTAGCCATCCCGAAGTCGATGAGGGTCACGTGGTGCCCGTCGTCCCCGGTGTGAAGGCAGATATTGTCGGGTTTTATATCATTGTGTGCGATCCCTCGAGTAAGGAGTCTCTGTACGACTTTACAGAGTGCCAGCATGATTTGGTCTATCACTTCGACGGTGAAGCCATACTTTCTGGCGTAATTGCAGAGACCTAGACCACTATATTTTGTAAACAAATACCTTTGAGGAATGTTAACGCCAACTGGCTTTTGGACACCTTCAAGGCCTTGACAGGTGTGTAAGTATTTTACCTCCTTGGTGAGGTCTTTCAAATTGTTTTTACCGGTAAATTGCTTTAAGACAAGATCTGTCTGATCTCCAGTGAGGCGCCAGCATCGCCCAGCCGTGCCGGTGCCCAGAAGCGTAAAAGTTTTCTTGGCCATAATATTATTTACGTCTTCAGACGAGAACTTCTGAATGGTAGGCTCTGGGCCCCGGGTCTGGTCGTGTTGCTGTGTAGAACAGGCCATTTTGAAAATCACAAATTGTTTTAGTGATAAGACTGACCTACCACTAGAATTCACAATTGCACATTGAACAAAAATTCCAACCTGGTTATGAAGTTTTGTGACGTTATACTAATGTTATAGTGAACATCTAATAGTGTTACAGTGAAGATGTAGTGGTGTAGTGAAGATGATGTAGTAGTGTTGTAGTGAAGATATAGTTATAGTGAAGATGATGTAGTAGTGTTGTAGTGAAGATGATGTAGTAGTGTTGTAGTGAAGATGTAGTTATAGTGAAGATGATGTAGTAGTGTTGTAGTGAAGATGATGTAGTAGTGTTATAGTGAAGATGTAGTTATAGTGAAGATGATGTTGTAGTGTTATAGTGAAGATGATGTAGTAGTGTTATAGTGAAGATGTAGTTATAGTGAAGATGATGTAGTAGTGTTGTAGTGAAGATATAGTTATAGTGAAGATGATGTAGTAGTGTTGTAGTGAAGATGATGTAGTAGTGTTATAGTGAAGATGTAGTTATAGTGAAGATGATGTAGTAGTGTTGTAGTGAAGATATAGTTATAGTGAAGATGATGTAGTAGTGTTGTAGTGAAGATATAGTTATAGTGAAGATGATGTAGTAGTGTTGTAGTGAAGATGATGTAGTAGTGTTGTAGTGAAGATGTAGTTATAGTGAAGATGATGTAGTAGTGTTGTAGTGAAGATGATGTAGTAGTGTTATAGTGAAGATGTAGTTATAGTGAAGATGATGTTGTAGTGTTATAGTGAAGATGATGTAGTAGTGTTATAGTGAAGATGATGTAGTAGTGTTATAGTGAAGATGTAGTTATAGTGAAGATGATGTTGTAGTGTTATAGTGAAGATGATGTAGTAGTGTTATAGTGAAGATGTAGTTATAGTGAATATGTAGTGTTGTAGTGAAGATGTAGTTATAGTGATGATGATGTTGTAGTGTTATAGTGAAGATGATGTAGTAGTGTTGTAGTGAAGATGTAGTTATAGTGAATATGTAGTGTTGTAGTGAAGATGTAGTTATAGTGAAGATGTAGTGTTGTAGTGAAGATGTAGAGTTATAGTGAAGATGATGTAGTAGTTTTGTAGTTGTTATGCATGGCATAATGCACAGTAGTGCATTGCCTTGTGGATAGTGCATTTTTTTATGTTCGTTACCTTCAACTTATGTATGTAAAATATTTTTGATAATTATATGTGAGCAGGGCTGGTACTTGATACATAATTGTTTTCCCTGAGTGTATCTTTAACTGTTTTTGCAGCTTAATGTTGGAGTAGTTTAATATTAGTGCTTTTAGGCTTGTAGGCCCCCGGGATATGGGGTTTTGTCAGTTACTGGTGGGCCTTGGAAGTGAGAGACGTCTCTGTTTGTCAGTGATGGATACCTTATCAAATTGGGTTTATTTAAGTATTATATATTCAGTGCTGCTCTATTATTACTTATTGTGTGTAAAGGGCAATCAATTGTGATGTTATAAAGTAGTTTATGGTTTATTTAAAGTGCACATATTAGTTGTTTATTAAGGTTTATGTTTATTCTTTAGTCTCGAGATTTAATTTATCCGTTCATGTAACCTACACGTGAAGGACTTCACGTGGTCATGGGGACACCGGGTGGTGTGGTGTTCACGTGGTATAGTGACTCTCTCGGGTGGCGTCACAGTACCTCACTCTCTGCTGGGTGGTGTTGTGTTATCTCGTAATCAGGTGTAAAGTTGGCCCCCTGTTGTTCCCAGGGCAGACTAATTAACACCTCCTGGTCAGAGGATGGTTCCCAGGGGTGTTTATCTCACTGGTGGGTCCCGGCTTTTACTAGTACTGTCTACAAGTGCTGAATTCACTGGCTTAAACACTGTTTATTACTGTTCAACACTGACCTCACTTCTTTCCGAAACGAAATTGTCACTTTTGATTCTGTTGATATCCCGGTTGTGAGGATGGGTCGGGGAGAGGGACTTGAAGAATTGGCCGACATGACCGAGGGGGGCCTGAATAGGTCTTGACTCTCCGGTGGTCAAGGATGGTGTGTGTGTGTGTGTGTGTGTGTGTGTGTGTGTGTGTGAGGGGAAGAGATACCATTACAATAACATAGACAGTATTTAGACTATTGACCGGTTCATGGGTAGAGATTACTGGGACGTGAGTACTGGTGGACCGGGATGGGGGGACGGGCGGCTAGGACCCAGTACTCTTACCCTCAACTCTTACTCCTACTCCTTCCCCTACCCTCTCCCCAACCCCTACCCTCATCCCTAACCTAACCTAACCTAACCTAACCTAACCTAACCTAACCTAACCTAACCTGGTGGGGTTACTTATTTTCATAATGCTCCTGAAAAAAATAGATGTTGGCGTACAATTCCTTAACAATCTCTCTCTCTCTCTCTGTCTCTTTGTGTCGAGGTTAAACGATTGGGTCAGTCAACTACGTCGTCTGTATTACATCACCAGTTATGAGGAAAATTAATCTTACGATCCTCATCACCACTTACGATCC